TCATCGGGTGCAACAGCTCTGAAAGTGACTTAGACTGCTCTGAAGCCTGCAGATGGTGGGTTAAATCTCCTTTTGCTATTTTCAGCCCATGCCAAAATAAGACTTCTCTGGCCTGTTTGTGTAAACTGCTTTTTGCAGGGCTCCTCATGGCAGGTGGGCTCAGGTTTCCAGGCTCTGACATTGCCAGTCCTGACTTCTTACCTCGAAGTCAGCTGTGCCACACCACAGCGAGGAATCCTGCTTTCTTCTCAACACTTGGCCTGCTGGACCATTACCATGACAACGGAGGATTATTGATTCTCATAGTCATGATGCTTTTGATTTAAGGCTCGCTTTGATTTGGGGCAGTAGTGTTCACTGGCCCAGAGAAGCAATGGTCTCCTCCAGGTGAAGAGCAAGGAGAGAAATCCGCTTTTGAGAAGGAGGAGAAAGAGGGAAAGGATTGGCTGAAGAGGCTGAATGGAATCCGTAATGGATGCAGTTATTAGCTGGGAAGGACACAAAAGCAGCCCATGACTCCTTAAGACAATTAAAAGCAAATTGTCTGGCTGAGCGATCCCAGAGCAAGGAAGATGCTCCCCCAGACTATAATTCAAGAGTTTGAATGGCCCTCAAAAACCGAGAGCTGAAAGAAAAAAAAACCCAGAAGATGAGGCAAATGATGGAACAGATGTGAGCGCTTTTGTTGGGAAGACTCGAGGCTAGCAGGATGGCGATAGGCTAATTTGAGGCGAATAATGCCAGGTTCCTTTCATATGCAGAACAGCACTTTGATCCAATGTGGATGAAAGTACTGAAAAGTGGAGAGGATGGCAGGGGGTCCTTTGTCTCTGACAAAAGAGGCATCTGCCAGGCTCTAACCCTCTTTTCCCCGCCCCCTTAGCCTAGCAGGCCACTCTAACAATGCTAGCAAAGGGGACAAGTGTCTCCTGACAGCTGAAGAAATATCCAGGGGGAGAATGAGGTTTGCAGCAATATGTATACCAGAGAGCTTAATCGATTTTTTCCACAGTACAAAAAGGGAGAGGGTTGGGGGAAGACAGAGATCACAGTGAAAATGGGAGGTGGGAGATAAAAAATCCCTTTCTAATAAACTTGTTACTTTTGTTCTTCGAATACATCTTTTTCAGGAGCTGCTTTGATGCTAGTATGAATACACTTATTGGAGCAGAGTAGGATGGAGTTGCTGGAGGGGGGTGTGAAGTAAGGAAGAATGGTTTTGCAAGGAGGATGAATGTGGAGTGATTTCTGTGGATTCCAACACAGGAAAGATCTTGGAAGTAGTAAAACAGTGCAATGCAAAAGATACCTGCAAGACAGATGCATATTTTCTGTATCACCTTTGGAAGAGCTCACAAATTTTTACATTTGATTTCTAAGCAAAATTGAAAATTTCTTTTCAACCTTTTCTTATTTTCTATTTTCTCAACTACTTGAAATTACTAGAAATCAAAGGAGTGCAGTATCGAATGCGGAGTTAGGAAGGCAAGCAGTATTTGTGCCAAGCAAATATAACAGTTGCAGACTAGCTGCTGATCTGCTCTCTGCTTCTAATGCTCTGTTGACTTTCTTCAGCTTTTCACATCTAGTAAACAAGACTGGGATCAGATTTGCAGTTTGAAGGGCTGTGATCTTCTTAAGTGTCATTTTGCACCTAGTCTATTGTTTTCTTTGAGAAGTGACTACAGATAGGAGTTATCAACTTCTGAACAACACCCATCTCAGTAAATTAAATCCTTTAAGAACAGTAGGTTCAGGAATCTTCCTTCTTGTGAGATCTTGACAGTGTTTATCCATTATTATTTACTGAAGATAACCTCCTCACCAGGGCAGAACTTTAAGCAACACCTGGTATGCAAACAGGTCCCTCCCTCTTTATCCCCACCCGCCTTCACTTCTTGACAAAGTGTTTCAATTCCCCCAAGAAGGTACAAGTGGTACAGAAATTGAGAGGAACTATCACATTTCTTTGAGAGGCTGTGCACTCATGCTGATGCCAAATTGTAATCCTATGTAGTCGTTCAGTAGGTGTGCCATCATTCCCCTCCAGCAGATGCCACTGTTCTGTTCAGAACAGCTGATGTGGAGAGTATTGTTGGCGATAGCATTTCCTGTTGTGTGAAGCCTGATGCGTGAGTTACTGTAACTTATTAGAGAGGGCTAATTTTCAAGGACATTGGTGCTCTCTTGACTTCTTGCTCCTAATGCAGAGAGACTTAAGCTGCTGCTGCTGCCCTCAAAGGAGCTGAGACTACCTGTGTCCCTCACAGCATCAAGGTGGAAATCCACTCTCTGGGTTGGGAACTTTAGGTCGTTCTTATGTGACTTCTCTCTCAGGTGCTGCATACAGTGATTGGAATCCGGTCTAGATCCTGGTGGGGAAAGATGTTGCTCATGGGGAAGTCTGACAACATGGGCATGAGAAAGGACAACACCTGTGTGGCTCAACCTGACTGCTACAGGCCAAGCCAAGTCTGTTTGGAGGACAGACTGAGTCTGTTTCACTTGAGGAATACTGCGAGGAAGGAGGGAAGAGATGTGCATGGAGCTGAGGGTTGCATGCAGAGCAAGTGACAGTAGGAGTGCAGGCTGTGGGGGTACAGTGGAGAGAGGAAGATTTGCTTTATTCTCATGCCTCTCCCAGCAGGCTGGTGTTTTCCCTACAGAAATTGGTTAGCCTCTTCTGGTTTGTGTCTGGGTGAAACTCAAAAGGTAAAGATTGCAAAGCTTTTTTGATGTCACAGTCCCTGCCTGCTCTGTGGGCAGGGAATGTCTGGTCATTGTTTCAGAGGCTGCAAAGTCTAGAAAGGGACATATTGCTTTAATGGTAAATTGTAAAGCAGATGATCCTATGGTAGTCAAATAGCTTATATAAGCCATTATAATAGCCAAATATAAGCCATTTACATGGAAGTGTTTTTGGATGGACTGATTATACATATAAGATTTTCCTGGCATGACCTGGCAGTCCTTGGGTATAGAAATCCCATGTTTTCAGCATGGATTTGGCTTGTATCTCAGTGAACCTTCTCTGGTCATTAATATCCATTAGGACTTCTCTGTGTGGGAAGTGAAGCCAAACAAATGGAAAAACAATGGCTTTGGAGTATGATAAACTCCAGCCTGCAAGCAAACTTTTATTCAGGCATTAAGTGGTTTCAGTTTGGTCTTGTTTAATTTACTTTCAAATTAAACAGAGGTCCTTTGCAAGATGGCCACTGTTAGTTTGATGTAACTTTGCTGAGTGTTCACCTGGAGATATTATTTTAATCCAGTGCAGTTTGTACCAACAAAGTGAATTATTGCCCTCTTTAAAAACATGAGATAGGATTGAATGTTACTATTCATGAACACTCCCCCAAGAACTAATGCTAAGTTATGTGCTTTTGTATTGGGCTAAATACACAGTGATTTGGATCCAAACAAGTAGCTCTAGCTGTAGTGGGGACAGTAATTCCAAATTTGGTGGAATTCGCACCTTTCTGTAGAAGACAGATTGTTGTTCTGGGGGAGGGAAATTGCACCTGTTTGTTCTCACATCTGCTCTATAATCCTCAAAATTAGTTCATACAATCTCAGATTATTAACAGTTTGCTTACTCATGTGTGAGTTTCATGGTGTTGTCAAATACTTCCAGTTCCAGAGTGCCTTTGATGGTGTTTGAGGCAAATATCCAAGAGGAGTTAATTGCACAGAGACTAACCAGAGCTTAAAAAATAACATTCCCAAGATTAATTTTTGAAAAATTTCAAAGCAATATCTCTGAGCTTACTTCCTTTAAAGAAGCCAGTAGGTATTAGGAAAGCTTGTGTCTAGTTTTGGTGTGAAAACTGGTGGTAGCTTGAGTATGCACTATGGTGAGGAGAGATGGTGATGTTTTACTTGCCAGGTGCTGATAGAGGACTGCTCCCTGTGCAGGTGATTATTCAGCTCCACATCCCACCAAAGGTGCCCACTGGCATCCCATGTTCAGCCTGGTGAGCTTCTACCCCAAGTTCCCTGCCTTTCTGGAGCTCAGTGACCACCGACTGCAGTGGTGGAGCAGCTAGGGAGAGGTGTGGAGGTTCTGCCTTGTCTGTTTGGCTCCGGAGACACCTGTGAAGTGTTGCTCCAAAGTGCTCTCTTCTCCCTTTTAAGTGGGGTGAGCGCTGCCCACGTGTGGGGTGGCTGGATCAGCAGCTCTCTCTAGGTCAGATCCTCCTGAGGCCACCGCCTTGGGAGAGCCGTGCTGTGCTCTGCTGGTCTTCTCCCTTTTTGGTCAGTGGAAAGGCTCCCTGATGGTTGGAGCGGTGGCAGCTGGATAGTTTATCTTGAGGCAAAGGGAATGGGAGTGTTTGCATTCCCAGGGAAAGGCCCAGGAGGAGGGAACGCATGAAGCCCTGGTGCCTTCTGAGGCAGTCAGCTGGGAGAGAGTGAGTGCTAGGTGACGCCCTGCAAACCCCAAAGGCCACCATTCTTCCCTTGTCTGCTCCAGGAGAGCCCTTCCTGCCTGAAATAGACGTTGTCTTAGAGAAAGAGACATGAAACAGGAAACAATAGCCTGGTACTGTTCTCGTGGATGAGGAAGGAAAGGCAAACAAGGAGAAGCCATGCTTAATTTAGGTAGGTGGCTGAGGAGCTATGAGGACAGGAGCCCATCATGTCCTGGGGCTCTGTAGTGGTCAGGCAAACTGTCATCTAGGGGAGAAAGATTTCCCCTACTTTCACCTGCCCCTTTGTATCTTCTGTATTAACCATGTCACGGTCAAAACCCCATGGAACTAAATGTGGTGGGTCAGTTCCCTCTGAGCAGGCCCACAGGAACCAAGATGTGAGTACCTGTGAACCCAGGAGAGGCACGTGTTGGTGAGATGTGGACTGTCTCAGAGCCAGTCCTGTGCTCAGAGCAAGGCAGCTGCAGAGAGCCCTCGTCAGGTGGCTGTGTGTCTGTGACCTTCCCATGGGATGAAAAGAGAACTTACCAGGAACTCTGTCTTTTCCTCCCTCTCCCCCTCCCTCAGGTGGTCTTTGCTTTGAATCAGACTCTCTTGCAGCAGGAGAGACTCCGAGCAGGCAGTGTCCAGATCCCCTATACGACTGAAGACCTTATCAAGCATTACAACTGTGGGGACCTCAGCTCCATCATCTTCAACCATGACACTTCTCAAGTGAGTCTAGCCACCACAGCCCTCGTACTATGCACATGTCCCTTCAGCGCTAACCCCTGTCACACTTGTGCTTCTCTGTCCCCGAGGCAGGCCCTTTACAGGTGAGGGCCAAGGGCATGCTGCTGGCTCCCCGACCCATCTGCTTTCCTGTTCCAGGAAGCCTGCAGCACCTCAACCCCTGTCTCACTGCACACAAGCAGCAGAGGTGCACCTGGCTTTCCTCTTTGGACAAGTGGCATGTTTGTTTTAGCATCGAAGCTCTGTGAGTTAATCTGTTATTTTGTTAAGGACTCTGTGGAACTGCTCTAGCTTAGGTATGAGCAAACTTAACAACAATATAGAACAACAGCAGGCTCTTTTGTGCTAAATGCGACAGAGAAATGCACTCGTGACTTGGGCACTTGTGTAAGGCTGGGCAAGTTGCAAGCTTTCTAATGTCCCCTATCAGGATGAGTGGGTACTGTGGACAAGGCCCAAAGAAGAGACATGGAGTGAAAGAAAGAAAAGATAGACTTAGACTGAATGTGAAGAAAAAGAGACCTTCTGAGACCTCACAGACTTGGGTTTACGGAGATGGTTTCCTAAGCAGCACGGTGGAATGTAATACTGATCTTTAAACCACAAGAAAACGCCCAGCAGGGACCAATTTGGCCTGTTTGGGCTGTTAGATTAGCTAACCTCAGACTGAGACATCAGGCCTCTCTATTCTTGTCTGTGAGATATTGCCTGGTAATTTGTGCACATCAGTGAAATCACAGGCTCTATCCTTACAGTGCTGAAAAAGCGCGTGTTGATACCTGGGCTATCTTGCTGAATAACCATTTTGTGATGACCTTTTGATACATACAGTGCAGTACTGCAGAGCTGCAGAGTCATACTAACCCTTGCTTCTCTAGCACTGAGCTTTGTGCGTGTGTTGCTGCCTTCCTGTCCTGCAGACCTTTCCTCCTGCAAGTGCAGGCAACTTGGTTGTAACACTGCTTCGCTTTTACACAGTGCACTTCATTCACGAATTTCAAAGGACTTCTCAAAGGATTTCTCTTAGAGCACTGTAAGAGGATTCGGGTGCTGTATCACTATTCTACGAAGATGTTGCAAACTGGAGACAGCTGGCATTGACTCCAGGTCCTTGGAGAGTGTTGCTGTTTCTAGGACATACATGTCTCCGACATGTCTCCATGTAAACTGTCCTTTACTTGGACAGTTGAGGGGCTCAACCTCAGGGTACTCTCCCTGACTGAGGAGCTGAGTACTAATAGTTTGGAACATGGTCAGTTTATGTTTAAAGCAGCACTTTTCAGCAAATTTTACCCCATGCTGGCCCAGTGTGCTAAGAACACTTTGGAGAGAGTTAGTAATAATCTGAGTGGCTCCAAAGTCTCTTCATCTGCTGCAGCCTTGCAAGGGAAAGCACCTGGCTTATTATGAGCTCTGCTCTCCAGAAACCACCACTTGCAGGCCCTTTTATTAGCAGTCCCCATAACAGCAATGCCTAAAGCTACATGTCAAGAAGCCAGGATTGCTGCAACTACAGACCCACGCTTCTCTCCACTGGCAGTAGGTCGGGATAGTGTGCAGTCACAGCTGTCCTGGGGGCCCCAGGAGAGGAAGCCAGCATTTTAGAAGATACTTTGAGGACAGGGCAACTGGAAGGGGTAATGCTTTCTTTCCTGACAAAATCTGGCCGTCTTTCCTTTGAAAAGTTTAGGGATTTTTTTTTCAGTTCAAATTGCACAGTTATTCTTTGGCAGCCTGAGGGCTCTGATACCAGCCAAATTCTCTTAGAAGAGTGTAATTATCATCATAGTTACGACATACCTATGGCAATTTAAGGAAAAAGTATGTAGCTAAAGGTAGCCAGGGGCAAATATTTACTTTCTTCAGCCAAGCAATCAGGATTTAGGATCTCCAGTGTAGCAAATGTGTTGACTTTGAATTGGAAAAAAATCATCTGTCTGGGTCATGAAGTGAGAGAAGTGAAGCATTATTTAGAATCTTGCTGAGCATTTTTTTAGCTTGCTTTAGGTTTTGTCCTACTGGCTGTGCCTTTAGGGACAAAGCCATCGCCACATTCGACGTGGAACAGAAATGCATGTGCATCATGACTGCCTGTGAAATAAATTCCCCTTTCATGAAGACTATTTTTTTTTCCTACCTTAGGTCCCAAATTTCGTTAATGCTACACTTCCAGCCCGTGAACACATTACTGCACAAGAGACAGACAGCTACTTCCGTCAGGAGCTCATCTACAAGCGAAACGAGCGAATGGGCAGGAGGGTGAAGGACCTGCTGGAAGAGCACCCAGAAAAGAGTTTCTTCTTTGCATTTGGAGCTGGTATGTGATTGAGGTGCCATTCAACTTGAACACATTCTTCCCATGTCCGTTAGAAGCTTTTTACAACTGCTTGTCTCAATTTAAAGAAAGGTCAGTATTTTTACCGTGGTGGACACAGAACTCAGCTTTTCCCCTGATAGTTGTACCTTAGTAGGAAAACCTTTTCAGTGTATCACTGTTTATCTTCAGTATGCAAAGAGCTCATAGTGTATGCACTTATTACAATATTTGTTCATTACAGACATTTTTTATACGTATGGTCAAAGATAGTGACTCAACTACAGCGTACATACAGAAGGAACAGCTCATTGACATAAACACATGTTTATGTCTGGGCAAACAATACAAAAGGAAAGGAGGAATAGGGGGTTGAGATGAAAGGCAGCAATGCAGCGGTTGCACCAGTGCTCAAATTAACCTTTCAAGAACACATTCAAAAGAAGAACATGCCAAACTGTGTGAATCTAAGGGGTTCAATAAATGCAATACGGGAAGCAGGGCCTGATTTCACCTTTCTCTTCCTCCTGCAGCTCTTTACTTCTTTCACTGTGCTTCCGCAACTACAAGAAAGTTGTGTCTGCTACTATTTTTGAGCGGCACATTGGGTCCACTTAGGGAAAACCTACTCCATTTTCTGCCTTTTAGCAGCCAGCAGGACTCTACAGGCACACCCAACAGCACATCCAGCTCCATGAGGCTGACACCCTCACTTCAGACTAGGGCTGGATGGAGGGTATAAACAGGATTGGTTGGCCATGACTCCCATCCTTTTTTCTAGCTCCAGGGAAGAGAAGAAGTGAGGATCAGTGTTAGAAAAGACAGGTGCTAATTCCCAGAGAATTATCACATCCACACCACCATGAACCATATGGCCCTTTGGAAAGGGGGGGAACTGAAACAGGTGTCAGTATCCATCTGTGATTTTCTGGTCTCAGTACATACTGCTTTAGTGAGGATGGAAGAGCTAGACAAGCCAAGGAAAATATTTACTTAAACACTTGAAAACATTTGTATTCAAAGTCTGTGGGAATTTATGCTCTTGCAGCAGTTAGCTGTGGTTACAAACTCACCATAACAGGGGGTTCTGTATGTGAGAGCAGGGAGGTAACCAAAGGTGGCTGACAATGTTTGTTCAGACACTTGTGAAGATTGTAACCTGCCGTCTCCCTGCAGCATTGCTGCTCTGTGCAGCTCACTGTCACAAAGAACACTGAAGCAGGCACTGGTTGTGCAGATTTTGATCTTGTCTGTCTGTAGGCTAAGGACAGTGCTTTGCTGTACTCCACTGCTGATGTTCTGATCACATTTGTCCCTGCTGGGCTGATGTACCCAACCAAAGCATATGCCAGCCCCAAGGGCCAGTTTTGTCAGTTGCAGGTAGCTAGTCTTCTGTCAGGAGGACAGGCATAGATATTTGGGCTTCAGTTACTGCATCACAACTTGAGGGATGAGCAGCCCATGCCCATGGACAGATGTGGATGGATGTGTCACTCTGGGTCTGTCTTGTCCCAAGAGCAGGATCATCTGAGAGAAGAGAGCCTCTTCCACTCCTTTCACACACTCTGCATTCCAGCAGCTACAAATCACATGTTTTTAAATGTTTTTGTGTCATTTGTCTCCCATCCCATCAGTTTTCTTCTGTTCCTGCTATTCTGCCCCAGACTGTCTTCACTGTCATTGGTGTGCACAGTGCTACCCCAGAGCCCAGAAGCACTGCAGAAGCAGATCAAAGCCCTGTCCTCAATCTCTCTTGTTCTCAACTTTCATAACATTCTTAAAGTCTCTTCCCATCCTTTCTGGATTCTTGCTTTCCTCCTTCCTCTTATTTTCCCTTTTTTAGTGTCCTGATTGCCAACAGTGCTATATTGCAGCATTTCCTGGAGCCTTGGTCCTGTATGAACACCCTTGATCTGTGGCTTATGTTCACATGGCTTGATCTCCGAGCACTCGGTGTGCTCTTCTCATGCTTTTCCATCATGCTTCTGAATCCAGACAGGTTCTCTGCCTCCTCTGGAGAGACTAGATTGGTTTTGAAATTGTCTCTAATTACCCTCTGTCTTTGAAACCAGTCTATCCTCTGTTCTCTGCTCTTCCAAATAGTTCTATTCAAAGAATAGTGCCAGTCTCCCCCTTTTAGCAGCTCAGTTCCTCATTATGCCCATGTTTGACTGCATGAGTATTTTGGGGAGAGGGTGTGTGTGTTTTCTTTCTTTTTGTTTGTTTCATATTAAGTGCCTAAATGAGAAGTAACATTACAGGATATATTGCAGAAAACAGATCAATTTTTACAGATTACTGAGGTTTCCTGAGTGGACATTACAATTATGACTGCATTCTTTTATTTTTTTCCAGCAAGTTAATTTAGCCTTTTGCATATGCAGATTGCTGTATGTGATAGATAATTATGTAGAAGATTTATTTTTATGCTGGCAAGCAAGGAAGATGAACAAATATCTTATGACCAGTTTTGAGCATTGCTTGAGTATTGCACTCTGTTAATTACTGGAAGAAAGTTCCAGGGAAGTGCTTACATAAGGCAGGTGCGAATGAGCTGTAGGAAAAGAGAAGAAAAAGGAAGGCCATAAAAATGGGAGTAAATCATGACTCCATGGTGCTTTTTCCTCTTCTGACCACCGGTGAAAAAAATATCTTCTAGCCATGGTTTATAAACTGCAGGACAAGGTTGTATTAAAGCAGTAGTAGAATTTTGAAGGATCTCCATGTTAGAAGAGGAGAGAAGACTTTTAGTTGTTTTCTTTCCAGACTTTTTCACCCTGTGATTTTTTATTTTTAAAACAGCTTGGCTTTTTATAAGGAAAGTTAATTTTTTTTCCATTAACCAAACTCCATTGAAAAAACAGCTTTTATCATTAATTATATGTAAACAAACTCATGGTTTGTGGTGACTGTGGTGTTACAAATACCTTTGCTTATTATTTAAACTGCTCTTGGTATTTTTATTTTAAATGGAGGGAAATGAGAAAATAGTGATTTTTTTATTTTTTTTTTTACATTCCAACTGGATTGATGGGATTTAGAGATGGGTAATACATTGTGCAAAAATATCTATCTCTTTCCAGGTCTTAATATAGCTCCATGGCTATAGATGCTAATTTCTTACATAGAATTATATGTGGTAATGGGGACTGTAATAGATTTGATCATTAGAATCAGTGTATTTTATGCTTTTGCTATATTTTAACAGATCAGACAAACTCCTCCTATATTCTGTCAAAAATGCTTCACAGTCAGAGCTCATTGCTGGAACTATTTTTGTCTGGAAGTAATTTGCACAAAAGTGGAGAACTAAAAAATAACAGATTTTGCTGAAAAGATCCAAAAAAAATCTTTGCTTCTGGCCAAAGTTGCAAACGCGCAAAGATTCAAGCCAAAATAAGTCTGTTTGAGGGACTTAGAGGAAAGCATGGGAAGAGAGAGTTGGTAATACCAGCAGCATTCCACTAGGTTCAGTGAGGGTTTTATCTGTGGCCAGACATTTTTGTATGGTGGCACTACAGCTACAGGCCAGACCTACTCCCTGTTGCCAGTGGTAGAACTTGTGAAGCGAAGCCAGCTGCAATCTTTCACCAGCAGTCTTCCTTCTGCATGCGTTTCTAATTTCTCTGAACTGCAAGTGGAGCATTCAGGATCTGAATGCTAAGCCAGCGCAGGTCATCACACACGTGATTCCACAGCCAGCCAGCTAGTTTCTGGTTTGTCTAGGAAATGCACATTGACATAGAGAGGGCTGTGCTGTCCTGCTGTGCTGTGGAGAGTTTTACCATTTGTCCAGGTCTCACAAGGGTGCTGTGTGCTGGCTAAACCTTCCCAGAATCAAGGGATCGTTGATACTGACAGGAACCTCTGGAGATCACCTGGTCCACTCCTCTGCTCGAAGTAGGATCATATAGAGCAGTTTTTCTAGGACTGGAGTCCGGTCAGGTTCTGGGTATGGGCAAGGATGAAGACTCCCGAATCTCTCTGCACAACCTATTCCAGTATATAACCACTAAAGATGCTTTTTCTTATGTTTAAATAGGATTTCCTGTATGTCAATTTGTGTTCATTGCCCCTTGTCCTTTCATGGGACACCACCGAGAAAAGTTCTGCTCCATCTGTTTTGCAGCCTTCAGTCAGGTATTTATGCATCAATTATAACCCCTAAGCCTTCTCTTGTCCAGGCTGAACAGTCTCAGCCTCTTCTCATATAACATATGCTCTAGTTGTTCATCATCTTTGTGGCCCTTTGCTGCACTCTGTGCAGAATGTCCACGTGTCTTTTGAACTGGGGAGCTCAGAGCTAGGCACTGGACCCAGATATATATCACCAGGCCTAAGGACCAGGGAAGGATCACCTCCTTCAATCTGCTGGTCTACATGACTGGTCTGTTTGAATGTTCCTGATGCTTCTCTGCACAGAGTGAACCCTGGACTTTCCCTCTAGTCACAGGAACATGAAGTTCCTGAAGGCTGGTTTGTCCCCTAGAGAAAGTAAGAACGGCATTAAGAATTTGATCTTTTCTATATTCATTGTTGTCAGATCTCCTGCCCCCTTCAGCGCTGGATGATACTTATGTAGTCAGTGGAAGCATTCCTTGTCAGTGGAAACATTCTTTGTTTCCCTTGATGTTTCTAAGCAGCTTCAACTCTAGGTGAGCTTTGCTTCAGTGTGGTCATTTTATTCTAGGAAATAGCACAGCTTGTTTTCTTTAGCTTACTTACAGTTTCTGTTGAAGGGGCTAAAGAGTGACAGAAAAAAAGTGTTGCGTTTGGGGTTTTATTTAATGTATGAGAAAGCATATTTAGTGGGATGAGATCCTGACTTTATTATGACAGGCAAGGCCTCTGGTGAAGCCAGAGTTTCCAGGAACCAACTTTAAATTCCCTTTAGTCTCTTCTGCCTCTTTGAACAGTTGAGAAACTCCAGAAGTGCCAGTTCATGAATAAGAAGTACAGAGGGATCTAAAATGCCTCATATCCCTGTGGAAGAAATTAGTGAC